GAAAGTGAGCTCAAGGCCAGCCTGAACTGCATAGTGAGACCCTGTCTCAAAAAGATAAATAATTAAATAAATAAATAAATTTTAATTCAAGTTAATGATAAACTTATATTTCTAAAATACCTAATGATGTAGAAAAGATTAGAATTTCATTTTTATCTAAAATTTCAAACATGTTCAAAAGTAGAGAATAGTGTAATGAACCCCATGAGTCCATTTTGCAGATACAATAATTATCAATTTGTTGATTTTATTTCATTGGTATCCTCTACCCACTCCTCACTTCTAGCCCAAACTTGACTATAAATATGGGATTTTTAATACATCTTTAATAAATCCCATATATCCTATTGTTCCATCTATAAATGGCTCAGTATGTATTTCTAATAAATAAAAATAACCATGATGCTGCTATCATACCTTGAAAACAGTTACAATTCTTTAGATTCACTGCTATGGTTTGAATAAAAATTCCCTAAAGGTCCTTGTGTTAAAAGTCTTGGGTCAGGCATGATGGCTCACGCCTGTCATCCCAGTACTTGGGAGGCTGAGGCAGGAGGATCACCATGAGTTCAAGGCCAGCCTGGGCTACATGTTCAAGGCCAGCCTGTGCTACACATTGAGATCCTTTATCAAAAAAACAAAACAACTAAACATGTGACTACCTACTACACAATACTGCAATTGTACCCTGGGGATAACTGTACTCAGAAAATTAAGATAACCTGTATAAACATTTTGCTATAAAAGAATCTTTATTTTATTTAATTTATTTATGTATTTATTAATTTTTTGTCTTTTTGAGACAGGGTCTCGCTATGCAGTTCAGATTGGTCTTGAGCTCACTTTGTAGTACAGGCTCGTCTCGAACTCACAACGATCCTCCTGTCTCAGCCTCCCAAGTGCTGGGATTATAGATGTGCGCCACCACGCCCGGGTTTATTTTATTTTTTTTTATTTATTTTTTGAGACAGGGTCTCACTATGTAGTTCAGGCTGGCCTAGAATTTATAGCGATCCTCCTACCTCAGCCTCCCAAGCGCTGGAATTACAGGCATGCGTCACCAAGGCCAGCAACAGCTTTATTCAAAACTGGAAATAAGATGTATGTCCTCAATGGGTCAATAAACTACGGTTCGTCCATATCATGGAATATTACTACTCTGTCTTGGTTAATTTTCTCTCATTGCTGACACAAAATATCTGACACCCAAAATTAAGGAAGGAAAGGTTTATTTAGCTCACAAATTATAGAAGTTTCAGTCCATACTTGGCTGGCTGTAAGGCACAGGGGCACACGGCGGAGGACAACATTTCATGGCGGCGGAAAACAGCAAAAGCAACAAAAGCAAAAAGGGAGGAGTGGCCGCAAGCAGCCTCTTTCCCTTACACATGCAAACTATCCACTCCAGGGCAGGTGTAGCACTCACACCCATGAATCAATCATAAACTCTAAAAGCCCGCCCCATGACTGCATGTGTCTCTGAGAGGACACCCAGACACAAACCATAACAGGAAGCAACTAGGAACGGGAATGTAGCTTTAGGGTAGGGCGCTTTCCTAGCATATTCAAGGCTCTGGGGTTCAATCTCAGCACTGCAAAAGAAATGAGCTACTGATGCACACAACTTCCATGATACTCCAGAGAACTATGCTGAGTGAAAAAAAGCCAATTCAAGCCAGATGTGGTGGTGTACACCTGTGGGAGGCTGAGGCAGGGGCCCAGCCGGGGCAACTTCACAATTTAATGAGACGCTGTCTCAAAATTAAAAAAAAAATTATCACAAAGTCTCAACTCAGCTGTTAAACCTGAATACTGAAGTTTTCGTTTAGAAAAAACAACTCCACATTAATATCTTTTATCTTGAAAAACCCAATAACATACATACCATAGCCCTCTCCCATGGCAACCCCCATTCTCCTTTTGGTCTCTTTGAATCTGAGTGCCCTAAGCCCCTCATATAAGTGTACCTCGCATACTATCTGTTTGTGACCGGCTTATTTCACTTAGCACCATGTCGTTCAGTTCATCCATACTGTAGAATATTTCAGAACTTTTTTTCTGAGGCTGAATAATATTTCCCTGCCTGGATAAACCTTTTGTTATCTCTTCATTCCTCTGGAGAACACTTGGGTTGTTTCTCTATTCTTTTTACACTTAAAATGTCTACGTAAATTTATAAATAAATAAATATTTAAAAACATTCTTAGCTACCAATAACGTTCTGTGGTATCAGACATTGGCCTGCCTGTCATGTATTTACTGGTTTGGAAAATAAAATGGCTGCCACTTGATGGATAGTTCAGTATTTAGGAGTGGGAGGGCATAAAGGAAAGAGGGCATAAATGGTGGCTCCAGGCTGATGACCGAGGACATGACCAAGCCCCTGGGAGAGAAAATACATAAAGAGAGATGGTTTAAGGGGAATGTAATGGGTTACCCTGAATAAAGAACTGAGACCAGAATCCAAATTGGAATTTTAAGAGCCTTTATTAGCTGGGCCGGCGGCTGTCAGTCTGCTCTCCATGCAGGGGGATGCTGAGCAGCACAGACCCGAAGAAAGCTTGAGCTTTTAAACTTGAAAACCACATCCTGGTTGGCGCAGGTGAAAAAAAAATTTTTTTGCAAGGGCAGAAAAGCGGAACCTATCAGTTCCAGCAAGCAGGTGTTGTAAAGTTCAGAAGGTTCTCAGAAGCATATATTGTTTTCAAACTAAACTAACAATCAAGCACAGTTTCTCTTTCCTTGGGTCAAACTGACATTTTTCCTCCACCCAATAGCCCAGTAATTTTTCATCCGTTTTATGTGTTCACCAATTATGTATTCACCACAGGGAAGATAAAGGCTTAGAAGGTCTTCAGGGGTGCCCCTTGTAGAGCTGAACAGGGTGAGCTGATGAGAAGGATCTGAGCCTGAGACAAATACAGATTCAGGAATCAATAAAGAACTGGTTGTTGAAACCATGAGAGAAAAGAGTTCTAAGCAGAGATTATAATATTCAGAGAGTCGATTGTATCAGGATTAAATCTGAAAAGTACCCATCCTCCTAGGAATAATAATGGTCCCTAGTGGCTCCAGTGGGTACAGTTTCAGAGGCAGGGTAGCTATGGAAGCCAGCTCCAGAGAGAAGTGGAGACAGAGCAGACTTCTCCCAAGATGAGCATGTGGGTTCCAACCCCAACACAGCAAAAAGAAAAAAAAATTGGAACCCCAGGATGGGCATTTGGCACACTCCTATAATCCTACCACTCTAGGAGACTGAGGCAGGAGGACTGCAAGTTCAAGCCCAGCCTGGGCAACTTGGCAACTTAGTGAGGCCCTGTTTAACTGAGTATTGTCGAGGGAGGATACTGGGAAGAGACCCTGTTTCAAAATAAAAATAAAAGACTGGGGATGTAGCTCAGTGCAAAGCCACCTGGTCCAGTCCCCAGTATTACCAAGAAAAAAAAAAAGTGACAAAGACACGAAGCCTGGATTGCTCTCATGCCAGGAGAGCAATACAGCTCTTTGTCTCTGACCTTGGAACCACATGTCTCCCTGCCAGCATTCTGGTTGCAAACCTGATAGTGAAAATCTCAGCTGCTTCTTGGTTCTTGACAGTGGTTGGGAGCCGGGATGTTGATGCACATCCTGTGGTCTCTGTTTCCTCAAAAGGGGGACAGAGACAAAGGGAGGCTTGAGAGAAGAATGATTGGGACCAGGATGGGAGCAGAAATGAGATAGGAGAGGACACCACAGGGCAGATCTGAGGATAAACCCCTGAGCCCTGGGCAGAAAGCCAGGAATACCAGGGAATCTGGGTTAGTGATGAAACAGTAGCTCAGATTATGACCTGGGGCCCTGGCTGGCAAGAGAAGAAAACAGAGGAGAAAGGGCTGACCATGTGGGAGAGACTGGAGGTCCCCTGAGAAGCTCCATCCAGGTGGATGAAGGCACCTGGGGTCTGGGGGATATTGCCTTGGGGCACTGAAGATGGACCCAACCATTAACACAGATGGGAGCCAACTCCACACAGCTGGGAGTACTGTGTGAGGCCGGGAGAGGCGGGGCTATGGTGGCCCTGAATTTGTAGGCTCCAAGATGGAAAGTTGAAGATGTAACTAGTGAGTGATTCCCTTTCTCTCCATGAAGTAGGAGGGAAGGGACTTAGTGAAGCCAAGAGGACAGGGAATTTTGAGATCAGAGAGAGGGTCTGAGGTCTTATAAACTACACAGAATACATGACTCGGTCATGATTGGGGTAAGGAATATCTACGGGGGTTTTTGACAAGTGAAGACCACAAAGATGGAAATGAAAGACTGAAAACCATAGATTCCAGCTAGCGCCCGTCAGCTGGGTAGCGAGGTACAGGCATCTCTATCCAGCAGTGTTAGGGTGAAGGAAAGGCTGGCCCAGCCCGACTGCCCTCCAGTGAGCCTGACCTGGCCCGCAGCAGACAAGGCAGAACAGACTGGACTCACTCCTGACCACCGGCGGCACAGGCCCCTGGGAGCGTTTTGGGAAGTCTCACCACCAGGCAAATACACTAGGTGCGACCGCACTGTCTCTCAGTCCACACTCCCAACGGCTGGGAGACCCGGGGTAGTTCATGGGATCCTGGACTGAATAACACAGTCCGCCTGCTGCTCACTTCCAAGGAGGGCTCTGCCTCTCCAGTACCGTGTCTGAGGTCACTCTGCTGCTCAGCTCTACAGGTTGGCCTCCTTTTGTAAGAGGAATGCAACTCGACCAGCGCTCTGACTTCTCTGTGGTCTCCAAATAGAGGGTGCCAGCCTCAGCCCCCCACCCCAACAGCAGGCTCCCTACCCCACGCTGAGTCTGAGCTGAGGGGAGGGGGTTCTCCATCCTCCTCACCTCCTTCAGCTGCTTTACTGAACTGGTCCCTCACCTGAGGTTCTGCACTGGACCAGAGGCGTCCCAGCCCAAACCAGCAGGTCTGACGGACCTTCGGAGGGGAGTCCTGCAGGCTGTGCACCTGCCTATGGCGTCAAAAAGCCTGGAGCCCGGGCCCAGGTGCGCGCAGTGCGCAGCCCGCGCGGCAGGTGGCGGCGTCTCACCGAACCCAGCCTGTCCCCTGGCTAGCGCGAGTTGGTCCTGGACCCCGCGGGGACAGCGTCCTGCCCAGCCCCGGGTGCCGGCCTCCGGGGAATGGATTGTGGACAGCGCGCAGCGGTTGGGTTGCCAGCTAAGTTCCCCAGCAGGGTGCAGCCCCTGGGGGGCGCACTTGGCTTCCAGCTCCGGGGGTGACACTCTGGCCGCCCGGGACCGCCGCGCTGCCCTGCCCCGGAGGTGCGGCGACCTCTGGAGCCCTGGTCCCGGCAGAGGGGGAGCTGTAGGGCGGGAAGGCGCCGCGGCCGCACGAGATGGGCAGGGCAGGGCAGGGCCTGGCAGCTCAGGGTTACCGCCTCCGCGAACTGCCCGGCCCCCTCGGGCCTCTCCGCTCGCCCTGTAGTGCAGCGGGCAGGCGGGCAGGGGACTGGGCGCCCGCGGGCTGGGACCGCATGGGGCTCCCGCGCGGCCGACTCCTCCGGCTACTACTCCTGCTCGTCGCCGCCTGCTCAGGGATCCTCTTTGCCCTGTACTCCTCGCCGGTGGAGCAGTTCCCGGAGCCCTGGTCCGGAGCCAGGTAGGGGCTGGGAGGCGCTGACCCGAGGGCGCAGAGGGTAAGCGGGGAGGGCGCCTCAGGCGCCCCAAGGCTCTCTCAGGTGCCTTCAGCCTCCAACTCGCCCTCCGCGTGCACCCCTACCCCTCTGCGATATCTCTCAGTAGAGCCTGTGCCGCGGCCCTTTGTCCCCAGAGTCCCCACCCAGCGCTAATCTCCCTGCCTTCCGGGACGCCAGGGCCTCTGCATGAGTCCAAGAGAGACCTGAGCCCTGCACGCGCGAGTGCCCTGTCCCCGACACCTTTGTTAGTTAATTCCTTCCAAGCCTGATCAGAAACACCTTCTATTGTCGAAATCTGGATGGGTCCTCTGGATTGGATAAAAAGTTCCTTGTGAATCGTGAGCTCTTCATAACGTCAGATGGGGGGGGGGGCGCTCTACTACTTGGGCAGAGACCAAGTCCCCCAGGTTCTAACTTTGCTAGGATCCTCAAGCACGCGGTGCCCAGCCGCCTTTCCTGTTCACTGTGGTCTCTGCTCTGCCTGCCTCCTCTTCTCCCGCCTGTGTCTGCTCTACTCCGTTCTGGGAAAGCCCGGTCTGGGTGCAATCCCGCGAAGGGACGACTCTCCGCGGAACGGGCCAGTTCTGGGTCCTTCTGAGACCCCTGCCCGTGCCTCCTCCTTCACTCAGCTCCCTGCTGCTTGCCCTGAGCACCTATCTTTTATTAGTGCCCCACGAGGAGAAACTTGAGAGCCTGCCTTTGGCAGGTGATAGTTCCAGTTACTGAAGAAGCCTCAGAACGATTTAGCTTTAAGCTTCTGGCAGGCAGATCAAGCCGTACCCAAATCTGAGCTGGGGAGACCAGAAGAGCACCCCCAGGCTCCTGTAGAATCCTATCAGCTTTTCCCGTCCTAGTTCTGCGCACCTGCGCACCTATAGGCTCCTTGGCAACCTTGTCCCAGAGGGAACAAACAAAAACCAAATTAGCATCTGCTCTCAGGAGATAAGGACACATCCAGGTTGCAAAGTGATGGGAAACATGCATCAGAGCATTCTGTGTCCAGTCTTCCTCGGTAGGAAGGTTACTCTAGCAGCTAATACCTGAAGTCCCTAACATCCTGGAAGTACCTAAAACAACCTTCTGAGGGTTATTATATCTCCACTAAACTTCAGGAGCAAAAAAATTTTAAGTTCTTCTTTCCAAAATCTAGTATGACTCAAGACCCTGGTGATGTTTGTGTTGCACCTTAAACCCTGGGCAGGTCAGGACTCAGCCTACCTGTGGGAGGTGAATAATTTAGTCCAGGAAAGCAGAGGATGAGAGGCAGATGGCATGCTGGGTAGGACCAGTAGCCTGTGTGACCTCCAGCTAGGGACATCAAACAGACCTGACTGGCTACGGGCACAGCCGGGAAGAAGAGTGGCGGTGAGAGAGTCTCTGGAGCCCAAAGAAGGGGTTCTTACTGCACCTGAAAGAGGAATCCAGTCTGGAAATCTACTCACAGGGGAATGTGGCTCAGTGACTCTCAGACATGAAGATTTCCAGACCTGTTTTTAAAAAATTATTTATTGTGAAAGAAAGATGAGTCAACATAGGACTGTCAGCATCTACTGTCAACATTATTCTGCAAAAAAAAAAAAAGAAAAGAAAGAAAAAAAGGAACCAACATTAGTAAGAATATGAAGTAGGCTGAGGAAATTTAGTGTTTTGAGAAATGCCTGACATTGGCATTGCTTCTCCTTAGGCTGGTCAGAGCTCCTCGAGGGGCACAGGTGGCCAGCCTCTTCCTGTGCCTCTGCAGGCACCCAGGCAGGTAGCTGGAAGCCCTTGAGTTCTTGGGAGAAGTCAGGACTACAAAGGATACTTGGAGAAAACATCAGGCTTCCTGGAGGCTGGGAGAGTTCTCTGCAACAAAACCAAATTGCCTATGTGAGGGGTCCTATCCCCCACCTAGTAACTCCCCCGCCTGTGTCAAGTCTGTCCTGTTCAGCAGTTCTTCCACCCAGCTCTCAAATCTGCCTGCACACTGGAGTCACCTGATGGGGATTCGGGAGTGGGTGGAATGATCGGATCAGAACACAGGGGGGCTGAGCGTCAGTGTGTTCTTCTCATGGACAGTCAGGTTGAGCACTGTGCCCTAGCTCCTCCTCAGAAGGGTTCAAAATGCGCTCATGGCCAGTCAGAGGGGGAAAAGGAGATCAGGGAAAAGGATCATCCCTGCTTTTTCTGGGCAGCCCCTCCAGGGTCTTACAAGAAATCTGGGAAATCAAAGGGAGGCAGGTCACAGGTTCCTGAGTGGCTGAGCTGTCTCACACCTACAAGAAGCCTTTGTCTTCCTTGCAAACTGCCAGTCCCCAGTCGTCCCCCATCTGCTTCCTTGTGGCTGCTGGGGTAACAGAGGGGCCAGGGCAAGCTGGCCACCCTTTGAATGGACCATGCCCCTATTCTGTCCTTCCTGCTTTCCCTCTGCCCTGCTGCAGGGGCCGCCACCTAGTGCCTAGGAATTGGGGGTAGGGAGCAGGTAGTCACATTAGCCCCTTAACTCCCTCCAGAAGAGACTAAGAAAGAGGCGGGCACAAAGTCCTTTGCTTCCCTCCTTTGGGTGACAATAACCCACATTCAAAGAGGGTGCTTTCATATTCAGTAACCTAGACTTTCTATTGGACTCCTCTCAACAATCAGAGGAACTCAATCTGGTCTTCCTAATTGTACAGATGGGGAGACTGAGGTGTGAAGAAATTCAGTGACTGCCCAAGACTGTGCAGCAGGCAGGTGGTAGAGCCAGGGTGCACACGAGGGAGTCAGGCTCCGAGCCATACCCTCAAGTAGGACACGTGACACACCTAGCTTGAGGGGCAAGGACCCAATGCTTGCCTGTAGGGACCCCTCAGAGCATCACAGTTCCGGGGACCGGCAATCTTTGCTCTACTTTTGCATTTTAACCATTCCGTTGTCCCTGTGTGTCACATTTCTGCCCCTCACCAAAGGATTCCCCTAATTTGGAGATCTATGTAGCTGGGCAGAACTTACGTATTTTTGAGCCTAAAGAAGAGATATAGACGAGCATAAGAGCATGGAAGCAAAAGGATGAAAAAGGCACACCTTTTGGAACCTGAGCTAAGGAATCAGCCCAGAAGCTGCTGAGGGGTCTGTTAGACCTGCTGACAGGGCTGAGTCAAACCCCTGCTTTACCTCTGCCTTCTCCCCCAGGGACACCATGACACCTCGAGAATTCTTTGGACCCAAGGCATCAAATTCTGGGACCAGAAAGGTACGATGGTTGGCCACCCTGTGGCATTTTTGAGCATCCTCAAGTTAGCAGGAAAGGTGGGGAAAGAACATTTT